CTCGACCTGTTTCGGTGATAATCGGGACAAACGTCGAGGTCTTGTATACGAGTTATAAAATGTATTTGAATTGCATTTTACGGCAACTAATGGTTAAACTGATTGTAATTAAGGCGTGAATTGAATGCGAGATTCAATTGACATTCACTTTGTGTTTGAAAAAAGTTTTGTGTTTTTGTTTGCCTCACAAATGCTGTCAATTGGTGGGCATTCGTACACACATTACGTCCCATTAATGTCATCAATATATTGCTGTCAGAGAATCGGATTCATAGGAATTCCGGAATTCATATCCGGAATAATGCTTTTTATAAGGAATTCAGTTTATTTTGTTCACGTTTTGTAATGTTTTTTATATTAAATCTGTCTAGACTTTAATGTAACCGGATCGATAAATAGATTTTTTAATATTTTCAATCATTATGATATTATAGTATTTTTAGTGAAAATGTTTTTAACATGGATTTCGGTGGGAATGAGACAAGAATTTATTAATTAATGAATTAAACTAGCAATTATATTAAGTAATTTTTATTGCCTAAATATGTTAAATATTTTTAAAATGTATCAATAGCTTATACAGTATAATGTAATGGTATGAGAGTTTATACAGTATTCAATTTATTTAAGTTAAATTGACTTTATCGACTCAATATAAACTGATAAGTTTAGCATATTTTTGTTGTTTTTATTAAAAATAAATATTCTAAATAAAGAGTATATTAATTAAAGCAATCAGTTGTTTAAATATAAGTTTATTCAGATAAAAATTATATCAATTAACTTAATCATTTTTTTGTCTAGGTACATAAAATTGATGAAAAATAAAAATTATTATTAACGTTAGTATATCTGGTACATAATATGCATAAACTATCACTAATGTATGCAATAGTTATCATTTACAATCTAAACTAGGAATTAATAAAATAATGATTTCAAAATGTTGCTTAATTTCTTTATGTTATATCGTATATACTATTAACTATAGTTTTGTTGAAAGTACTAATCATTTAGAAAATAATAGTTATGTTGACGTGAATACGAGCTCCGGTATAGTGAGGGGACAGACCATACAAGTGCTGAATCATACAATCAATGAATTTTTGGGAATACCTTTCGCTGAGCCACCCGTCGGTGACCTCAGGTTTGCTAAACCAAAACCCATCGGAAAGCCACTCAAAGTATACATTAAAATACAATTATATTTGAAAATAATAACACCTTTTAGGGTATAATCAACGCAACGGTGCCCAAGAACTCGTGTATGCAAACACTGATACCTTTCTATACAAGTGATCTCAATATAGATGAGGATTGTCTGGTATTGAATATATGGGCGCCACCGGTAAGGGATACCGAAGGGATAAATGTTGATAAGCAATTGAAACCGGTGATGGTATGGCTGCATGGTGGGGCTTTTATGATCGGATCCATATTTATATTACCCGATTATAACGGCTCAGTGTTGGCCACACATGACATCGTGTATGTGTCGACCAATTATAGAGTGGGCGCCTTTGGTTTCCTATATTCGGGCGATGAGTCTGCGCCCGGAAATATGGGTCTCTATGACCAACAACTGGCACTTCAATGGGTAATAAATTGTAGTTATAATAGTTATTTTTGAAAAATATTTTACATTAAAAGCTAAATAAGTTTTTACAAATGAAACCATAAATTAAGCAAAACATTCATAAGTTTGGTGGCGATCCTAATATGGTTACAATATTTGGTGAGAGCGCCGGTAGTTGGTCGGTGTCGGCCCACATATTGTCACCACTTTCAAAAGGCCTATTCCGGAGGGGTATTATGGAAAGTGGGGCCCATTTATTCTCCAGAAGGCGACCATTGATTACCAAATGTGAAGCCATTTCTTATGCAAAACAATTGGCTGAATATTTCAATTGTACGGACGATAAGTGGGTTCAATGCTTACGAGGAATCGATGCCACACTCATCCAAGACTATCAGATTGAAAATAATAGCACATACCATACGAATATGATAATGGGCACTGATATTCTACCATACTCAGCACAGGTAGCATTTAAACAGCAAGAATTTAATAAAGGTTCGTAAGTTTTAATAACTACTAAGCAAGGTATATTCTGGTTAATATGATTTTGTACCCATTTTATGGCAGATATTGAGCTAATAGCTGGAGTGGCAACACTGGAAGGTTCACTCCTAGCTTATGTGGATTTCCCAATACTCAGGGTAATAAATGTGACAAAACAAGACTTCGAAGATTTGGTGCAACAAAATGAGCCCATATTTCATGCGCTAAACGTGAAGAATATGACAGAATATTATCTTCGAGACATCGATGACACCAATTCCAGTGCCATTCGCCACTCATTCTTCTCGTTCTACGGCAATGTACTCATCACTTGTCCGACATATCTGTTCGCAAAACTCTTCGCCCAAAACACGGCTAAAGAAAACAATGTATTCTTCTATGAGTGGAATTATGGAACTTATCGGATATCTGTTGATAATAGTGTCACTCATGGGGCAGACCTACGCTATGTTTTCGGTCTACCCCTTATACAGTATGACATGGACTACACCAAAATGGACAAAGAATTTTCCAGAATATTCTATGAGATTGTGGACTAATTTTGCGAAATATGGGTAAGAATTGTGTTTATAATTAATAAATTATAAATTTTTTTGTTAATATACGATATTGTTATTATAAATATAAAAATAGTTTTAGTGAATCAATGTTAAAATATAACAAATTATATTACTAATTCCCATGTTACTAATAATTATATATATTTGGTTAGAAAACCTGATTCATTGGGAAAATGGCCACATTTTATCGATAAGACAAAAATCAGTATTAAAAACATGAATCCCTTGAATGAAGACCTCCAGAAGAGTAACCCGTTTGAGAAAACTTGCGATCAGTTTTGGAAAAATTATTTCTAAATATATTTTATGACTATTAATGTTTGCAAAATGTATCGGTAGAAAATAAGTAATTTATTTATGTATTTATAATCAGTTGTTCAAATATTGAATGTTGTTATTCCCATAAATAACAAATTATCTAATCATTTATGCGATGATTCATGAAATCAATGAAATATTTTCATATAAATTTATTTATTATTAGTCCTTAATGTACTACACATTCAACATTTAATACTAAATAGCATAGTAAAAATGTTGTTTAATATTTGTTTAATTTCTTTGGTTTTAGACACAATTCTTAATATTAACTGTGATTTTGCTGAAAGTACTACACATTTAGAAATCAAAAGTTATGTTGACGTGAATACGAGCTCTGGTATAGTGAGGGGACAGACCATACAAGTGCTGAATCAGACAATCAATGAATTCTTGGGAATACCGTTCGCTGAGCCACCCGTCGGTGACCTCAGGTTTGCTAAACCAAAAGCCATTGAAAAGCCAATCAAAGTATAATTAGGATATTATCGACGCAACGGTACCGAAGTATTCATGTATGCAACAAATATCTCCCTTTTTTAAAGGGAATTTTAGTGAGGATTGTCTGGTATTGAACATATGGGCGCCACCGATAAGTGATATAGAAATGGTGGACAAGCCATTGAAACCGGTGATGGTATGGTTTTACGGTGGTGGGTTTGTCGTTGGATCCATATTTCAATTTCCTAATTATAACGGCTCAGTGTTGGCCACACATGACATCGTGTTTGTGTCCATTAACTACAGATTAGGAGCCTTTGGTTTCATGTATTCGGGCGATGAGTCTTCGCCCGGAAATATGGGTCTCTATGACCAACAACTGGCACTTCAATGGGTAATGAATTTTGAACTTAATTAATATTATTTTCTTATACTTTTTTGCATAAAAAGCAAAATACATTTTATAATCTAAATGCTCATAAGGAGTAAACAGTTAATGGTTTTGCATTTTATTGCAATTAAAATGACAGGTGAAGCAAAATATTTATAAGTTTGGTGGTGACCCTAATATGGTGACCATATTTGGTGAGAGCGCCGGTAGTTGGTCGGTGTCGGCGCATATATTGTCTCCACTATCTAAGGGTCTGTTCCGGAGGGCTATTATGGAGAGTGCGGCTCAACTATCCTCCAGACAGAGACCTATTGTTACTAAAACTGAAGCCATTTCTTATGCAAAACAATTGGCCAATCATTTCAATTGTACAAACGATAAGTGGGTTCAATGCTTACGAGGAATAGATGCCACACTTATCCAAGACTATCACATACAGACCAATAACACATATTATATAAACACCATAATAGGCACTGATATCCTTCCCTATGCAGCACAGGTAGCCTTTGAGAAGAAAGAGTTTAATAAAGGTTTGCATATCTTAAAAGTTATTGCAATAATACAGGATTAGTATCGAGAATATTCTTATTTATTAATTCATTATTTCATGACAGATATTGAACTAATAGCCGGAGTGACAGAACTGGAGGGGTCAGCACTGGCCTACTTTCAGTACCCGATATTACAAACAGATAATGTGACGAAACAAGACTTCAATGATTTGGTGCAACAAAATGAGCCCACATTTCATACGCTAAACGTGAAGAATATCACAGATTATTATCTGCGAGACATCGATGACACCAATTCGAGTGCCATTCGCCACCAATTCTTCTCGTTCTACGGCGATGTACTCATCACTTGTCCGACATATCTGTTCGCAAAACTCTTCGCCCAAAACACTGATAAAGAAAATAATGTATTCTTCTATGAGTGGACCTATGGATCATCCGATATGGCTATAGACAAGATAATGGGTGTCACCCACGGGGCTGACCTACGCTATGTATTTGGTCTGCCACTGACTCAGCATAACGTGAATTATACTAAAGTTGACAAAGAATTTACAGAATATTCTATGAGATTGTGGACTGATTTCGCAAAAACAGGGTAAGAGTTGTATCCCTAATCTACAGGTATTTTATGATAATTATTTGGACCGATATTTTTAAGCTAAACTAATTTGTAGTTTATTATTAATTATGAATTTATTTGGTTAGAAAACCCGATTCATTGGAAAAATGGCCGCATTTTATAGATAACACAAAAATCAATATCAAAGACATGGATCCCTTCAATGAAGACCTCCTGAAGAGTAATCCGTTTGAGAAAACTTGCGATCAGTTTTGGAAAAATTATTTCTAAAACATTAAACTTTTAATGTTTGCAATATGTATGGCACCGGTAGATAATAATTATTGTATTCATTTGTAATCAGTTGATTAAATACAGTATGTGTTAATTCCCATAAATATTATTCAATTAATTATCTAATCATTTATGTTATGATTCATAAACTCAATTAAAAATTAGTTTATATTTATTGTGTTTAAGTCCTTATACAGTATATTACAAATTTAGCAATTAAACACTAAACAGCATAGTACAAAATGTTAAATATTTGTATAATCGCTTTGTGTTTGAATATAATTCTTAATATTAACTATGGTTTTGCTGAAAGTACTACACATTTAGAAATCAATAGTTATGTCGACGTGAATACGAGCTCTGGTATAGTGAGGGGACAGACCATACAAGTGCTGAATCAGACAATCAATGAATTCTTGGGAATACCTTTCGCTGAGCCACCCGTCGGTGACCTCAGGTTTACTAAACCAAAAGCCATTGAAAAGCCAATCAAAGTATAAATTAAATACAATTTCAATGTAAATATATTTCAAACGATTATATTTTTAGGACATTATCGACGCAACTGTTCCCAAGAACTCTTGTATGCAACCGTTGAATCCCTTATATCAATATAATGGCAATAATAGTGAGGATTGTCTGGTATTAAACATATGGTCGCCACCGGTAAGTGATATTGAAGTGGTAGATAAGCCATTGAAACCGGTGATGGTATGGATATACGGTGGTGCTTTTGTCATTGGATCCATATTTCAATTTCCTAATTATAACGGCTCAGTGTTGGCCACACATGACATCGTGTTTGTGTCCATTAACTACAGATTAGGAGCCTTTGGTTTCCTATATTCAGGCGATGAGTCTTCGCCCGGAAATATGGGTCTCTATGACCAACAACTGGCACTTCAATGGGTAATGAATTTTGGAGTTAATTAGTATTATTTTCTTATACTTTTTGCTTAAAAAGTAAAATACATTTTATAATCTAAATGCTCATAAGGAGTAAACAGTTAATGGTTTTGTATTTTATTGCAATTAAAATGACAGGTGAAGCAAAATATTCATAAGTTTGGTGGTGACCCTAATACTGTGACCATATTTGGTGAGAGCGCCGGTAGTTGGTCGGTGTCGGCGCATATATTGTCTCCACTATCTAAGGGTCTGTTCCGGAGGGCTATTATGGAGAGTGCGGCCCAACTGTTCTCCAGACAGAGACCAATGATTACCAAAACTGAAGCCATTTCTGATGCAAAACAATTGGCCAATCATTTCAATTGTACGGACGATAAGTGGATTCAATGCTTACGAGGAATCGATGCCACACTCATCCAAGACTATCACATACAGACCAATAACACATACCATATAAACGCCATAACAGGCACAGACATACTGCCCTATTCAGCACAGGTAGCCTTCGAGAAGAAAGAGTTTAACAGAGGTTTGTATATTTTAAAAGTTATTACTACTATTAGTGTAGAGAATATTGTACTAAAATGTTTATTTTATGACAGATATTGAACTAATAGCCGGTGCGACAGAACTGGAAGGTTCAGGACTGGCCATATGGGTGTTCCCGATACTGATCACAAAAAATGTGACAAAACAAGACTTTAATGATTTGGTGCAACAAAATGAGCCCACATTTCATACGCTAAACGTGAAGAATATTACAGATTATTATCTGCGAGACATCGATGACACCAATTCCAGTGCCATTCGCCACCAATTCTTCTCGTTCTACGGCGATGTACTCATCACTTGTCCGACATATCTGTTCGCAAAACTCTTCGCCCAAAACACTGCTCAAGAAAATAATGTCTTCTTCTATGAGTGGACCTATAAATCGTCGGATACTCCTATTGATCAGTTACTGGGTGTCACCCATGGGGCTGAACTACCCTATGTTTTTGGATTACCACTCACTCAACACGACAAGAATTATACTAAAGTTGACAAAGAATTCACGGAATATTCGATGAGATTGTGGACTGATTTCGCCAAAACAGGGTAAGGATTGTGTTGACATTAAAAGCTATTTAAATAATTATAATTATATTTTTTGTTAGAAAACCGGATTCATTGGATAAATGGCCGCATTTGATGGATAAGACAAAAATGAGTATTAAAAACATGGATCCATTGGATGACACCATCTTTAAGAGTAATCCTTATGAGAAAACCTGCGATCAGTTTTGGAAAAATTATTTCTGAAATATTTATCTAGTCTTTGAGTGCATATAAACCAACAATATATACAAATAAGGATTTATTTTACCCTGTTGCTTAAATATGTGTTTATTCCCACAAATATTACAAAATAATATCTAATCATTGGTGTTACGAGTGCTTAACATGAATTAAAATTTATTTTTAAAACTATTAATGTTTGCAAAATTTATTTGTATAAAAATTATTTATTTATAATCAGTTGATTAAATACAGTATGTGTTAATTCTCATAAATATTATTAAACAAATTATCTAATCATTTATGCCATGATTCATGAAATCAATGAAATATTAGTATATTTTATTGATTGTGATTCAGTCGTTAATACTATACCTGTATTACCATTCATTCAAAAAGTGTTGATTTTATTTTTAGTTTACATTTTCAGTTGTCGTTAAGAGTAATGATTTGAACGACATTTCCATTGATTTGACAATTGGTTTGAATTTATTGCGAACGGTTTCGACAGAAGTCACATCTCACTCACCATTAACTGATCCATTCGGGTGACAAACCATATGTTTGTGATGTCGGGGAATGCGGTAAAAGATTTCCACACAAATCAAATCTATTTCAACACAAACTCATCCACTCGGGAGACAAACCATACGTTTGCGATGTCGAGAAATGCGGCAAAAGTTTTCGTCAAAAGTCAGCTCTCAGTCGACACAAACGCATTCATTCGGCAGACAAACCGTATGTCTGTTTGTATGCCAATTGTGGCCACAGTTTCAGAGATGGATCTAATCTCAATCGACACAAACTCTCCCATTCGGGCGAAAAGCCATTCAAATGTAATCATAAGGATTGCGTCCGAAGATTTGCCCGAAAGGTACATCTCATTCAACACCAACCCATCCATTCGCGAGTAAAGCCGTAAATTGAGTCCAATTTTAATATATTATTGTTTTATTCATTCATAATTTGAAACATTTTTTTCGGTGAATTCAAAATTTACATTACATTTATCGCCGATTATCGTAAATGTAACAAAAGTTTTGTGTGTTTTTATGGCATTCAATGATGTGTTATGTGTTTGCGTTGTATTTAATACATAGGTTTTTGTATGCGATTTGAGAAAACAATTGATTAGAAAATTAAACAAAACTTTTTCTCTTATAAGATATAATCATTTTATTTGACATTTAATAAGTGTTTTTCGAGATATAATTATTTGAAAACTTTTTATATTTATTTGTAAATATAATTCAAATGAAATGACAATTACATGAGTGAATAGCGATGTAATGATTATGTGTTTTATATAATGACAAAAATGTATTTATAGTATCAATGTGTGAGTCGATGAGTCCATTAGACGTATAATTTTAGTGTAAATTTAACTCTTGTTTTACAAATGGTTTTCGCAACGAAATCAAAGGAAACTAATTATTATTTTAAATAATAATTAAAATACAAAAAACTAATTAATGAACGAAACGAATGAACGCTAAAAATGATTGAAAAAAGTATTTTCAAACAAAAATCAAATAGAAATTCATCTAAACTTTGTATTATATGTACGGTTTGTCTCATAACTAATTCGCGTGTGTTTTACAAACAACAAAACCAATCAATTAATCGTTAATTAATCGCAAAAACAAACAAAAAATTTCTAAAAATTGGTTCAAAAAAACTCAAAACAAAAATTCAACGAAAATAATAATCATTAAAAACTTTTCGCACAAAAGTTAGTAATTTCTTATAAAATAGTCGTCCGATTCAGCCATCGTTTCACTTCTTCTTTTTCCACTCGATTTTGATTTTTTGTGAATTATTTCTATTATTACTAGAATTACTGGCGTTTGCGGCGCCGGTGGTATCGTTAGGCGTGCCCTCCCGGCCCTCCATCTGCGCGAGTGCTGCCATTTGTTCCCTCGCTTTCTCCATGAGTTCCGCGGAAGTCATGGCCGCCACGTGACTATCAGATCCCGTTTCCTGTGCTATCGACGGCAGTGGTGTTTGCTTTTTGGACCGCAATCGCGGGTCAATTGCCGGTGGTTTAGGGCCAACAGCTGTAGCCGCGGCGGCGGCACCGGTATCACCGCTGTTGCTATTACTACCACTGCTAGTGCCCGACCCGCCGCTGCCACTCAACGGTGTGTTCACTTCGAGGATAGTCGTCTTCATTTGGGACACGTCTTCGTCCAAATCCATGGCTTCCGACGAGTCGTCCATAGAGTCTGTGAAAGCAATCAACGAATGAATGAATTAAACAAAATTCGTGTAAACTTTTCGCGCAATTAGTGAACACTCGCTATAATATCGTAACAAACGAGTGATCACTGAATCCGTTCATCAATTGCCATAATCAGTGGTTTCCTTACCTTTGAGACCGGCTTTGGAGCCGAAGTTCTTGACGATCGGGTCGTCGAACTTGAATCCGGAGGCGGCGACCGCCCGAAGCCTCTCCTGTTGTCTCTCAATCTCTAACGTCTTGTGCTTAACGGTCGACAGAATGTCCGGAAGATTGTCGGGAATTGTGATGTCTTTGAGCGATGAGGCGAACTGTCCGTCCAGTCCCGGTATGAGTAGCCCGGATGAGGACGACCCGGAGGTGCCGGCGCTCGATGACTGGGCCTCCGCCTCGGCCTTCTGCACCTCCAGCTGTCGCTTCTGTTCGTCCACTTTGGCGGTCAACTGTTCCAGTAGTCGGCGCTGGAGTTCAATGTTGGAGGAGCCGGCGATGGCGTTCAG